ACAAAACGGTAGAATAAAATTTTGAAAACAAAATTTTTTTTAGGGTAGCTCCCCTAGATGTAAAGTGTGGATGATTATTTTTTCATCTTCTACCCCATCGGGTTGGGTATCGTTGGATAGGTCTATTCAAGTCATGTATTATAAAATTTCATACCTAATAAAAAATCCTTAGAAGAAAATATTAAAAGTGACTTTAGATTAAGAAATATATTGTGTTAACACGGACTACTACGGAACCCTCTACTGCGCGTGGCACGACACGCACTTGGCCAATTTTTATTTTTATTGTTACAAAAATATTTTCTTAAAAATTATTTGAAAAAGATCACGTTCACGGTTAAATAAATAATTCCAACCGTATTACGTAAGGGACAAAGCGATAAAATGTATTGTATACTTAATGAAAATTTTTCCGGGACGCTTCGGATTTTTCCCATGTCAACTTTAATTATGTGGAGCTTTACATACATGTTTTTTTGTCCCAGATAATCAAGTTATTCAGCTAAAATATGTGGCAGGAAAATTCTTTACCGAAATAGAAACAGGATCTGTATCAGTGATTAAATTAACGAGAATTTCGTTCCCTGCTTATTTAATTTTATGAACGCGTGAAAATCCTTTTGATAATTTTCCCTTTTTCGCAACATTTTTCATTGATGCGGTTAATATTTTAGTTCATAGCTGGCTAGAATATAGTCTCGGTCTGTCCATGATGCCTTTCTATGAAAATTGACATACTTACAGGTTGTAAAACACCTCTAAAACTAAGCTTTTTAAGTACTATGTTCAGGCAGGGGTCTTGACAGCGACACGATGTAGTTACACGAGTGTGCAATAAAAGATTTTATGAATTTAAAGTTATTTACTCTGATAACTTTGATACTATTACAAGATTAACGTAGGGACGCGTGCGGTCGGCGCGGCGCCGTGAATCGGAAGAGCAAAAATATAAATTCAGAACCGTCGCTCGAGACGACTGCGGCCGAATCGCGGTGTGCGACGCGAGAGGGCGCTGGCGATGCGTGTAGTGTCGCGTAGGCATGGAAATGATTGCTATTTTTCATTCATTTTCATTCTATGAAATGATGATTTTTTTTCATATGATTTCACATGCGAAATTTCACAGGCAATGATTTTTATTCGCAGTGTTTTAATGTAGCTCTTTCATATAATGTGCTACTTTTAATGAAGTATGAATTATGATGAAGGATTGCTAATTAGCTAAAATATGAAATGTAACAATATCTGTTTCATTTATGTCGCACAACAAAAAATAAACAGTTTCACAGCACATTAATAACCGCGCGACTAATGAAAATCATTCATTTCATCTGCCTGCTATCTAATGAAATCACACGAATCATGACAAGGAAATCTAAACCTTACACCTTTGAGTTTAAAGTTCATATTTAAAATGCCCAGTTTCGTCCGTCATCACATCTCTTGTCCTTTTCTAACACGCACATGATCAAATCATTCCTTCTTACTCGCTCGGTCGCTTCGCAGAGCTGCGCTCACGAACTTCGCTCGAATGAATGAATGAAATTCATGTGATTCGTGATTTCGTTGACTGTGAAATTATAGCAGTCTATGTGAAGTAAAATAGCAGGTGTGATTAATGAAATTCATTTCATATGATTTTTCACCTGCTATTCATGAAATGTTCCATGCCTAGTGTCGCGTCAACAACTACTTCCCTTCTAAGATTTAATCTATAACTATAAGAGCGAAAGGTCGCTGACTGATTGACTGACTGACTCACTCACTCATCATGAAATCTCAGAAACTGCAAGTGCTATGAGTCTCAAATTTCGCTTGGGGGTTTCTTTTAGAACGTAGGTGCACACTAAGACGGGATTTTGCAAAATTCAACCCCTAAGGGGGTAAAACGGGATCCAGGCGTACGAAGTTGCGGGCGGCCGCTAGTCCCTAATAACCATAAAACTGCTTGCCAAAGTTAATGGATAACCTGAAGAATACGGTGAATAATGGAGACATAACTCGACTCCAAACCCTTAATATGGCACGTACTTTTTCACACCCCATTATTGCTTGATGGTCCTTTTATTCAGTGCAAAGCGGAGCACATCATTTTACGTGTGTGGCGTCTAGTGTGCGCCATAAAATCTTTATTTCCTTGTTACCTGTGCCGTTGATATCGCACCATAAAAGTAATGCGTGAACTCAAAGAATAAAGTAAGACAGTTTGCTTTGTGAGTTTTGTGACCATAGATAAAGCCTAGCTAGATAGACAGTAAGCACGCGAAAAGTGAGGCAACTATTACTACAGAATAATAATAAGTACTAGGTACGTAAAGAAGTTTTACTTCGCGAAGGTATTTAAAAAAATGTATGCGCAATGTCATTAACAATATGGTGTAATTTAGCTTGTCTCAAGAGTCAAGCAGCATTTTGTTGACAAACGTCAGTGATCGGTACTGCGCCGAAGCTATAGAGCTGACTTCGGTAAAATGATGTGACGTGAGGTGCCAAACTGCGGAAAATGGCGGAGGAAATACATGATTTGGCATGAATTATCATGAATAATATTAACTACTTATTTACCTCTCAGTGTCTTTAGGCAACTTAAAAAAGTACATTCTGTGTTTTTATTATTATTTAGGCAGTTAAATACTGCACAGTATTTAGTACACCATTTTCTTTATACACAAGAATACGCGTGCGTGAGTCAATGTTCGCTCGTATGTGAGGCCTTGTCGAATAGTATCCTGTAGGGGGCCATTCGTGCGTGTTTTGTTTTCGATGTAAACTCGCGGAGATGAACAGGCCTGCTATTACTTAGTAAGTAGACCATAATGGTCCAATTTTTTTTAGCTTTTACGTAAAGGCACAGTTACAGCTTCGTTTCAACTAGCTGTCAAAACAACCCCGCGATACGGATTTATCAAAATAGCTGATTTTCGTTAGTCGTCCAGTCGCGTTGCAGTTGAAAATTTTTAGCGCAATCGGGGCCCTGAGTGTGACGATTCAGGTCGCGTCAGTTATTTGAACTTAGGCACAGTTTTCGACGAGCGTGACAGAGACAGGAGTTAGGACCCTGGATCATAGGTCAAGTAACGGTCGTTTGTCTCTCGTCGGTTACTTATCGTATCTCTGTGATGCTACTCGAACCGTGACCTGTATTAGCCTAGGCACAGACCACAACTTTTGGTTGGCCGATAGTTGGGTCGGGCTGTTAATCAGTATGGAGATGTATGAAAGTGCGCACATTACACCGATTTGGTATCGGCCGATTCTTCATACAAATTCGAATCGGGCCCAACTATCGACCAACTAAAAATCGGCGGTCTGCGCCTAGGCTAAAGAAACGATCTCCTCTCTCAGTTTCTATTGTATCTGTCGTGACGCGAATCGCTACCTTAAGAGTAGGCGCACACCGTTGATTTTTAGTTGGCCGATAGTTGTTCCCGATTTTAAATTGTATGAAGAATCGGCCAAATCGAATCGGCGTAGTGTGCGCACTCCCATACATGCCCTGCCCGACTAAACTATCGGCCGACGAAAAATCAACGGTGTGCGCCTACTCTTACGCATCAATAGGCAGTACTTCTAAGGGCAATGAGCGTTGTCACTCATGTGGTAACTACTTCAAAGTTCAATGAGTCTTATCACTAATTATAGAAGGGAATTGGCTCGAGATGAAGGTTTAATGAACGGGCCTGTATTTGGAATGTTATTATAATTTGGGCCGCTCATCGAAATAATTAGAGTTTCATTTCAATTTGTAAATAATTTAAATTCAGTTCATAATTCCGTACCGCGCGGGAATAACTTGACATCTCGACCTGCACTTTTTTTTTTATTAGCTTAAGCGCTTCCTCTACCTTATACCCTACTGGTATAAAAAACTCAACTCGAAATACCCAAAAATACTTGAAATACAGCTCTTGTTCATAAGTAAATATCTCTAATTTAGGCAATAAATATTTGACATAACGATATATCAAATTAATATTATTCTTACAAACATTTATATTTCGATTTATCAATGTATGTCAGAACATGTATTTATTAATATCTCGACTTATACATTTATGGATTTTCGTTTTTCATTTGACAAAAACAGTTATCAAGTTATGATCCCCTCTGAGTACTAAACACATCCATGATATTATGTGCAGTTGTTTTGTTATGCACGCAGTCAAGAGTTTGGATATTTGGAGTTATCCAGCTATTACCTTCGTATAATCATATTTTTATATGTGTCATTAGCAGTTGATAAAATATAACATTGTCAGGATTTCGAGCGTCTTTAAATATTTTTTACTTACCAACCCCTGAAAATATTTTTTTAATATATTTAAGCGTTAATTATTACTTTTATTACTATTTTCAATAGTTTAAAAAGCAATTAACGTTTAAATAGCAAGTTGAAAGAAGAAGGATAAGTTTAGTCAATAGGTAGGTACTATCTACTAATGTTTTTTTATAACAGACTAATATTTCGTTTGACAACAGAATTTAAGTAAAAAATCTAATAATAAACTTTTAGGTCAATTTTAAGTTCCGGATAATTTTATTTTTATAGTCTATTTGACTTCAGTGACATTATTTAGGAATAATGATGAGGTAAAAGTAAGTAGGGTCGTTACGCCAGATATCGTCCATTTAGTGAGTTGGTAGATTTGAGGAATAAAGATAATATACAATTTTTCGTAATCATTTTGAACGAAAAATTGTTGTCATTATGCTCCCTTTAGTCCTTATAAGTATAGTATTAAACTTGCTCTAAACCATTAGAAGTTTTAATATTATCTTTGTAATATTAATAAAATATAGAAAAAATGCATTCAAAATCACTAACAATTAATAACAGCATGGAAATAAAAAAATATAAATAAAATCTTACTAATTGGTATTCAAAATATTTAGGTATCACACTTAATAATTATAAACAGACATATATTTCAGTTTATTTCATTTTTTGAAACAATAGTATGGCTCAATTTGCAAATGGTATCCTCTCTAGGCACAGTTTGTTAACGAAAAGTGAAACAACGCCTTCACTGAACTAAATATATTTAACTTTAAAATAATTACAAAAGTTACACTCAAAATATAATCAAAATAACTCCGTCCGACTATTCAAGTTTACACTTCGAATTACGAAAACGTAGTGGCGCTCCGACGACTGCGTAGCTTCTTTTATTAACTCGCCCGAGCGCCGCAGTGGCGCCATCTACGACGAGTCACGCCATCTACGCCGGGTGGCGCCATCTACAGCGAGTTACGACAACTTCCGGCTGCGTCTTGATTTTTCGGCGGCAATGACGTCACTTCCCACCGGATATCGCAATAAATAATTGCGATTGCCAACACGGCCATTCTGCGCGGTGCCTGCCCCAGGCACTTCAGGTCTAGATAAAATGCTGAAGCAAAATTGAATATTAGAATATATTATTTTAATTACATTAAGGTTATGCGGTCAACTTGTCAATTATTGCTGACTTACACATTACCAATCTCATGCACATGCATTTATTTAGACTGCTCGCACTTAAAGGGACTTTACCACATTTAAGAGACCAAGTCAGTCTTTTCCCGCTAATCACAGAGCTACTTGCACTCAAAGGGACATATGCCACACTTGAGCGTACCAAGTTCGCTCCAGATCTTATTTGTGAATCTCGCATGTGAAAAATTACCAACAATGTGTAAGTCACCAATCTAAAGCATTTTATCTTGACCCGCAACCTTAATTTATATTGTGAATACGAATCAATCAAGTTACAAAATGTAAATAAATTTCATTATTGTGTAAATAATAATAATGTATTATGTAAAACCTTCTTTCAAATAAATAAATGTGTATATAAACTGTTTTTTTTTAAATGGCCTCGCTTACCACAATAAGCGCATTTATTGAGCTCACATTGATTCCTCCTATGATTTCCACCGCATAAGTAACATTTAATAGGTTTACGATTCTGCATTTGACCCGAATCCTGTTTACTAGGGGGCATATTACTATTATTCGCATGCTGACCCGATATACTCGCGGAAGGCAAAGACGGTGATGTAGGAATGGGTGTTTGTGTCGTAGGTAAGTGACTATTTATTTTATTAGAGCTATCGCGTGCATTTACACTCGTTTGTTTTGGTGTTTTACTTTTATAAGTGCGCCCATGTAAAAAGCTAGCTAGACTATCGCAAGTAACGAAATTACTCGCTTCAATCGACGCTCCTATATTACTATCACCTATATTTCCAATAATTATGGAAATTATGTCCTGTTCCGAGAATTCTAATGAGAGGCGATCAATCTTGCACTTTTGGTCAAAATAAAATTCATAAAGAGATTGATTTTCGGTTGGTTTTTTATCTATTATCTCTTTCAATAGTTCAAACATGTTACGACGGATTTGGAAACTTGAGGCTAATTTCCTTTTCCAATCCTTCCATTTCCATGAAGGCCACTGATTTTCAGTCCGTAATAATGAATCATACCAAACTTTTGAAGAGCCTTTCAATTTATTCAAAGCCTGATAACGGATCATCTCATCAGACCACGCAAACGTTTGAGAGTAAGAATGTATAATACCAAGCCAAGCATTAATATCATCTTTTAAAGGGTCAAATTCGGGAATTATGTTGTTCAAAGTAAAATTATTCGAGCTTACTTTTAAGGCATCAGCTTTATGTGATAACCTTTTCCTTTGTTTCGGTGGAGGTGACGGCGTCCTGGCGCTGCTCGAACTGCTCCGACTTGAACTCGAACTGCTCGAACTCGAACTTGAACTCGAGCGAGCCCTTTTTCTTGACGGCCGTTTTTTCTCCTTACTTCGTTTCCCCATGATGCGTGGGTTACTGGTCTCACTTCGGATGTTAACGAAAAGTGAAACAACGCCTTCACTGAACTAAATATATTTAACTTTAAAATAATTACAAAAGTTACACTCAAAATATAATCAAAATAACTCCGTCCGACTATTCAAGTTTACACTTCGAATTACGAAAACGTAGTGGCGCTCCGACGACTGCGTAGCTTCTTTTATTAACTCGCCCGAGCGCCGCAGTGGCGCCATCTACGACGAGTCACGCCATCTACGCCGGGTGGCGCCATCTACAGCGAGTTACGACAACTTCCGGCTGCGTCTTGATTTTTCGGCGGCAATGACGTCACTTCCCACCGGATATCGCAATAAATAATTGCGATTGCCAACAAGTTTGCTTTTTATATTATTTACAACGTCTGTATTTAGAAAATAGTCGTGATAATGTGGACGCAAATTGGTTATCACTAGGGTAAGCTACATTAAGAGCGTGTATTAGCGTCCAGGAAAAAGCCTAAGTACTGAAAAAAAAACTTTGTGTTCGATACGTCATGTAAATAACGTTTTACGTGATATAAAACATGCATTGTTTTGTATATTTTAATATCTTAGACCCAGTTAGACCAGACCGCGATCACTTCTGACGCAAAGTGGAAATTGCATTGTAGTAAATTCGCATCCACCTTATTTTAAGTGTCATTTAATAAAGTACAATCACCGATATCATTATCCGTATTGTATGGTTCATGGTTAAGGCTTATAGACTGCGGTAAATCCCAAACTAGACCTAGATATATTAAAAACTTACCTTGAAACGCGCACCCGCTCATGTGGGATTTATTTTTGGCAAAAACGGTAGCATGCTATAAGATTTTTTTTATGTGGGTTTACGTGTCATACATTTAGGGAATCATAGCAATAGCTTTCGTTCTAGAGTGATCCGTCATTTGGACGTGAACTGGACGGTGGACGCGAAAGGGCGTGTCGACCTGACGCAAAAATGTATCCAGCTAATTTTAATTATTTTAAGCTTAATGGTAAGCTTAAAATATTTAAAATTAATTGTGCTTGTTATAAAGCATGGCTTTTGTTCTTTTCTTTGTCTTTTTTTAAATTTTAAGTAAACCTACAATTACCTGATCAAAAGCGATTATATTTGATTTTTCTAATAAATTTGCTACTATTTCATTGCAAAAGTGATAAAAATATGTTCTATTTATATGTTTTGTTTTTTTACTTAAACTTCATTCAAAATAATTAACTTAAATCCAATTTTTACACCTTAAATATTTGTTTTTCTTTGGTGAATAACTTGACAAGTCGTCGGTACACAACTTGACAAGTCTTTTTTTTTAATAGATTAAGAAGATAATTTAATCAAATTCTTACGCCAATCGAT